TATTCCATGGGGCCAACTCATATAATGAGAACAGACAAATGTACCTGAAGGGATTGAAACCACACTCTTTATTCAGCCCATGGGGGAACAAAGTATCGAAACGGTAGATCCAACGAAGTTCTGCCCGTTTGAGAGAATCTGCAAGGGAACACCCAGAATAAGTTTTTTTAATGCGCTATATAGCTTGAAATCTAAGTTAAGCCACAGAGTGGCCCAAATCCACAAAGTGTTTGGCCAAAGGGATGTGCCGTTTTTTTGTCCATATAGTACTTTTGTGCTCGCCAATACGTATGGTTAAGGATCTTGAAGTTTGACCCACATACCAAGTCCCCAAGGGCACTTTATTAGGTAGATCACCCAATCAGACTGACAATTAAAGAACTCCTTAATAGAAAACAATTTGCCTGTTCTTGGATGGGTAAACCCAGGGCAAGTTATGGTATTGTTGCAATTGGCACAATGGCCACTATGATGCATTCCCATAATCGGTGTCAGCCAAGAAGCTTAACCGAATTAGCCTGTCTGGAGGGTGATATCAAGGCTTTAATATTTCTGGATCCCTAATATGCCATGAGAGGTATTTCACTGAAAAGATCCCAAATAGATGGATCACTCTGTAAAATGTGCCAGTTCTTATGGATGATGTTTAATAAAACCAGATTTGGTTGAATATGTGGTGATGCACCGAATTCAATTAGAAGCTTTTTCCTTAACAAGAGATTTCAGTAGAGAAGTCCTCTCTACACCTTTGCTTCCTGCAATGAAGTTTCACTGTAGCCATGGGATTGGAAGTCATCTAATCATCTTGCGTGCTTGAGTGTCAAAATTATTCTCCTGGGACGCAATATTTTCAATTTTGAAAAGCCTGTTCCAGCTGTTGTGGTGATACAAGCTTACATGTATATTTTATCCACAACCAAAATAAAATATACATGTAAGCAGATTGTTTCACTGCTTTTAAAACAATCTATACTTTCAAACAGGATTTTCCAGACAGTTTTACTGCAGTTACTAAGAGAGACTGACCAACAGGGATATAGAGTATTATAGCATTGCTGTGCATTTGAGTGAGTGGGAGGCAGCCTGGGTCATTGAGTCTAGTGTAAGATTAGCTTTAGCTTTCTGTTGTATCTACCTAGCAGCTGCTGCCAGGGGCACTTGAAATAACTTTGAATGAGAAATAGGAAATAAGTATTTGTCACGTAGTGTAGATTGTTTTTTTTTTTTTGTCAATCAGCTTTTACTGAGGCAAGTGAATGGTATACAACATTCAGAAAGGAGTAAGCATAAATGCCAGAAATAATAATAATAATAATAGATGTACACGTGAGTAGGCTAGCGTAACACGCACAATAGGAAAAACACAAGTACTAGAATCAGTAGAGAGCCTCAGGCGGCTGCAGCTTTGCCCGGGCGGTGCGTCCATGAGGGCGGACCGCACCGCCCGGGCGCAACCTGAGGAGAGGCTGACAGGAGGGAAGCGCTCAGCGCTCCCTCCTGTCACTCCCT